CGACACCGCGAGCAAGCGCTGCCCCAATCGCTCGATCGGTCGCTCGCTCGCGGGCCAAATCGTGAACTATGAAAGCAGCCATTGAATGGCAATAGCGACTCGGATATAAAATTGATTTCGAACGCTTGCCAGTTTGAGTATCGGTGAAGCAGCGAGGCTACATGCGTCCCATGTGGAATTCCTGTTGGCCGAGTTCCATTTAGGTACTTAAAGTACAGTATTCTGTTTTCAGCACGCGAAACGACAAGCAGCTTGGATCATTTTGGCCTATCTGACATTCTGGAGTCCATACAACGTCGTAGCAGTGCTGAACATGACTCGGACACTTTCTGACGATTACGTGTCTACCGCCACATTGTCGTTCCTGAATGCTGCAATCTGTGCGAATCCGATCGTGAATCCTTTGATATACGGTATTCTAACAAAGTCCGGCAAGCAGTAATCAGAAACGACCGCTAATGGACGAGATCTTGTCGTGCGACGTCTCGCGCGGCCACTGACGCGATGTCCCTTGTGCAACTTTCCTTCACGTCTGTACGTGTTTCACTGTTCGTGATCCACTTTTGCCCGCGCTTGTAAACGGGTACAAACGTGTCAGATCTAGTTATTTGATTTAGTCGCCGCACGAGACGTCGCGCGCGTTTAGCCTCCTTAGCGTACGAGTGTTTTGACACACACTCGCAATAATGGGTTACTTCACAGTTTTCACGATGACTATTAGTATCCTCATTGATTTTAATTTTATTTGCAAGTATTAGTGAATTGATAATGATAATAAGGAGATCTGATGACATTCTACGCACATTCTAATACCTATAGCTAGATCCATTGAAATAGGATGTAAAAAAAGTTCTAATCATTCCAAAGTCTGTTTGCCTTTGTGTTCTGAAATATTTATTGATTGATGTGCGGGTGTTTGTCATATTATTATTCTTCATGAGCTTTTTCTACAAGTTATTGTACATTTTGATTATAATTCAAGCGATAAACGGTTACTATATGAACAAGGTGTACAAAGAAACCCGTGGTCTTTACGGGAATCAATTTATTTGTAGAAAGAGAACCCTGTTAGAGGGAAATATTTCTATAATAATTGACTAACTGTTAAGTGGCTAACACTACGAAGTGTCACCTATTTTTCGTTCATGAAATTGGGACTTTAGGCACAGTTCCGATCCTAAATAGGTGGACGAGTTGTCCGAAATTATTCGCAGCTCGAGGCTCCTTCAAAGCTCAAGAAAGCATTGAAAACCATGTATTCATCGGTAAGTCCCAAGAAATAGTGATAGTTGTACCTATATCAGAGCTCTCTAATCTTTTCTTTTCCACATATTTGAGATAAGCTTTGCGGAGTTATACGAGTCGGATAGTTTGCTCGCTCGTAAACTGAGTGTAAACCGTCACAACAGACCCAGAATCAGTGAACAAGTAGAGGATGGAGTTTTGGTAGGGGTGTTCCTTCCCGGAATGTTTGGAAGTGCTTTGTAACTCTGGACATGGTGGGAATGGCCGAATAAAGGCAACTAACTAGCTCCATCCGGGTCAGGAACTTGCCACACCGTCTAGTGCGTTTCAAATGATGCTATAGGATCAAGATGGAATTGAGTGCACAACGCGACTCGAGGTTTTGATCAACTATGTGTGCTTCTATAGTAGTTT